CCAAGTGGAATGGGAGAGAGTAATCTGGGAGGGCTAGGTCTGCGGCCTGGGCTAATGTCTGCTTTAAAGTAATAAAAGCCTCTTCAGATGCCTGGTCCCAGTTGAGGGACGCACTGAGGCGACGTAGGCCATGCTCTCGGACCAGGGCCCTCAGGGGCTGTGTGAGCCCCGTGTAATCTGGAATGTAAGTGCGACTGTAACCTGTGAGACCTAAAAAGGACAACATATCTTTTACTGTAGTGGGTTTTGGGTGCTGCAGGATAGCTGAACGATGAGCTGGGGAGAGACCTGTCCCTGCGCTGGACAACACTCGACCTAAGAAAGATACCACTGTCCGCGCAACCTGCAGTTTATCTTTACTGACCTTGAACCCTCTTTCCGACAGTCGGAACAGTACTGAATGAGTAGCCTGTAGGGCCACTTCTGATGTTGGGGCAGCGATCAGGAGATCATCAACATATTGGACGAGGGTGACACCGTCCGGGAGAGGACATCCCTGTAAAGCCTGCTTCAAAACCTGGTTAAAAATACCTGGAGAAAGAGCAAACCCTTGGGGCAGGTGGGTGTACCTCAGCTGACAGCCCCTGTAAGTGAAGGAGAATATGTCCCTGCACTGTTCTTCCAGAGGCAGACAGAAAAAAGCATTTGCCAAGTCAATGCATGTGAACCATTTCTGTTGTGGGGTCAGATTAGTAAGGGCAACATATGGGTTCGGGACCGGAACAGTGGGGGTCAGCAGAAGGTTATTTATAGCACGCAGGTCATGGGCCATTCGATACTTCCCTGTCCCAGCTTTTTCCACCGGGAGGATAGGGGTATTCCACGGAGACGTGGAAGGCTCCAACACCCCAGCCTGTAAGAGACCGTCTATTGTCTCGGCTATTCCTTCCTCTGCTGCCTGCTTATGTGGATACTGTCTAATCCAGAGTGGGCCTTCCCCTGGCTGCAGCTGGAACTGCACGGGTGTACAGGATATCAAACCTACATCTGTAGGGCTGGTGGACCACAGAGAGTCTGGTAAAGATGCCAGAAGGGCCGCCGCCTTCGGGTGGTCCATCTTTTCACGGCCGTGTTCTCTGGCTATCTGCTCATGCTTCAGGAGGGCTGTATCCTGTGCTGTGTCCTGTATGCAATAAGTACTGCAGGAGGGTGGGATCTGGGTCTGTACCCAGTCCTTAGTTTCTCTGGCCCGTTTAACCATCGGGCCCAAATCTTTGGCCTGGTGCTTAGGATGGAGGGCTAGAGAGACATGTGGGACAGCCTCCTGTCCCATCATGAACCAGGGCACTTGTTCTGGGGTAAGCACTGTGGCTGAAGCTACCCCTTCGGGACCCACGTATATATTCTCAGAGGCAACTTGCCATTGGCGGCCTTCCAGTTGCTCATTAAACAGTTCCTCATACCACTCAGTACTTTCCCTATCATAGAAAAGGGTCACATGGGGAGGGTCAGGTGGGGGTACATAGGGCTCTAGGAGCGAGATCCAGGGCCGCCACGCAGAGTAGGCCGCCAGGATGCCAGTCAGACTGGGCTCCAGTAGGCCCCAATAGATATCTGCCAGGGCCTGACTTTGGATGGGCCGTACCAGCCATTGTCCCGCCCCCGTGGTCCGGGGGTCACAGCGCAGGCGAGTGCCTTCCGGCAGGGTAACCACCAGTCCATCTGCACTGCACAAAATAGAGGCCCCCAGCTTCACCAGCATGTCCCTTCCTAGAAGATTCACTGGAACTGAAGAAGACACAAGAAAAGGGTGGAGGAAGGTCTGTTTCCCCACCACAACTTTCACCGGTTTAGTCACTGGCAGTCTCTGTTCTTTCCCCGAAAAGCCCACAACGGTCACTGTTGAGGTAGACAGGTGATGTTGTTCAGGGACCACATTAAGAGTGGAATATGTGGCTCCTGTATCTACCAGGAACGGCAGTTCTTTATCCATGACCATAAGGGAGAGCATGGGGTCTGCCTCCCCTGCCTCCCGGGCCGCTCGTGGGCACCGTCACTGTGGGGAGGGGTACCAGTCCCACTCCCCCCCATTCATCACCGGGTACTGTCCTGCCGTGGGAACCGCTTGTGGGTTGGGTGCCATCACCGGTGTGTTGGGTGTCAGTACCTGGACTGTAGGAGGTCCTCCCCTGCCGCGTACACTGCTCGGAGCGGGTGCTGGACAATCCCTTGTCCAGTGGTCTTCTGCACCTGAAACAGACACC